TTTTTTCAACCATGAGTGAAATGTGCAGTCTGGCTTAAAGTCAAATTTTGACAAAGGTGTTTACCTCAGATTGAGCAACAGTTTTATAGGCTGTGTTGTATAGGCAGGCATGAATAGGCTCTGTGTTCCCAGTTCTCCCCTGCGTGTGTATTTAAATGTGTAGCCTGTTTCCACAGAGACCTGAATTCTAAAGCGGCTGCGCTCTGCTCCACAACATCCATTCAGAGAAACAAACTGTTGAAGTRCAGCACCTAAACACAAACAAGATTGATTGTTCTCTGCTGTGGTAGGGACGGCCGACACGCCCTTGCGGTTGCCGCGGTGCATGGTCACAGTGATGTACTTCCWCTTCTGGTGCAGCGAGGAGCTGATGTGGACCAGCAGTCGGGACAGTAAGATGACACAAGTCTTTCATGTTCAAATATCATATCTCCCTGCAGGGGGTGCAGCTTCCCTTGTTTAAGTGTCGTTAAGTAAACATGATGTCTTCGTCTTCCTCAGGATGAAGAACACAGCTCTGCATGAAGCTGCAGCTCAGGGTCCTGAAGGTCTGAAGTGTGCCGAGGTCCTGCTCAGGTACCATACACCTGTTCACACACACACACACACACACACACACACACACTGCAAATAAAGATGGATGTCTTAATCGCCCCCTGGTGTCAGGTCATTAACCCCCTCCTCCATGTTTGCAGATGGGACATGAACCAAACCAAAGAATCAAAGCAGATGTTCAGCTCGTTATTCTCTCTCTCTGTTTCTCATGTTTCTGATTAGTTTGGTTTCATCAGTTATTCGATGACGTAGAAACAGACATGATGATTGACAGCTGACACTGAATGAAGATGGCAGATTTGAGATATTTSTTTTTTTATTTCTTATTTCTGGAGGAAGTGAGGTTCTTGTTTAAAGTCTATGATTCACTCTGCTCAGACATTAAACGCTATTGTTGCTCCTCCTCCTCAGCTGCAGGGCCAGTGTGAGGAGGAGGAACGCCAGTGGTCAGACGCCGTACGACGCGGCGGTGAGCTCCGGCT